CCTACTACTACTACTACTACTACTACTACTACTACTACTACTACTACTACTACTACTACTACTACTATTACTACTACTACCACTACTACTACTACTACTACTACTACTACTACTACTACTATAATTATTATTGTATAGACCCCATTCTGTACCACCCTATCATACATACCGTACCGTTGTTTACCTGGCAAATAACGCCACTCAACACAGCTTTCCTATTCTCCTCTTTTTCATCGCCCCTCTCCTCACTCCTCGTCCGCTCCTCTATCTCATGCCACCTCTCCCATACCTTTCTTTTCCCGTCCCCTTTTTCCCTTCTTCTTTTTCTTTCTCTCTTATTCATTTCCTTCTTCGCCTTTCTGTCCTCCCTTTGTCCTCACTTCTTCTCCCCCCCCTCCTCTTCCCCTTCTTCTGCCCCATCTTCCTTGCCCTTTTCTCCTTTACTCATCTCCTCCTCTCCCTTCACCTCTCTCCCCTGTCCATGTCCTTCTTTCCATCTCCTCCCCTCCTGTGGGTGGTTGGCAGGTGCTATGGGGAATGGCTTACTCCTTCTTTCCTATCAAACATCTATCATCCTTCTCTCACCTCCTTTTCTTTGTTTGCTACACCCTATTATTGCCCTAAACCTTCGCTATCTATACAATATATTCGTGTTGCAATTGCCCTAAGACTCTAAAAATAAAATTTAAAAATCTAAAAATCTACCCCCCCCCTACCCATTTTCTCTTCTCCCAGATGTATGTAGCAAGGTCCCCGACTGGGACAACGCCGCCTCCTATCGTATCCCTGTGAAAGTGACCAACCTGTACAGCATGCCCTGCTTCTACGGACAGTACAGCATCAGCCACTGCGCATGCTCGAAGACAGAGGTGGACCTTCTTTACGGGAACGGCAGTAAGTACTTGTACCCTATGTAACGATCTTCATTTGCTTGCAACAGTAATAACAATAATAATAATAGATAGCATTTGTATAGCGCATATCCCCGCTCAACAGCAGGCTATATGCGCTTCACACTATATTATTACCCCAGCAGACCATAGAACACTCCGAAACATTCTCAGCTTCCCGGGAAGCATACAATAACTGGAGTGCATTTCCTCTTAGTATGTCTGAAAAGACTGAAGAAATACTTTATGATGTGTGTCACAGTTTTTGCCCGTCCTTTCTTTATTCGTTTATTCGTTTATTCCTGATACTTTCTGCGTTTTTTTCATTTTGTTGCTATTGTTCATTTGGGTTCTTTTGAGGGGGATGGGAGTGTTTGTTTTACTTTCTGACTCGAAATTACCCTTGTTGAATTTCCACTTCTATTATCCTTGCTTGGTAGTAAGAATTCAGACTCACTTAAGATTCTTTATTTATAGATTTTATCCTTTTTAGTAGCCCCCCACCCCACCCCCGACCTTGTTTTTCTGTTCCCTACCTCCTCCGCTCCCATCCATGTAAAACACGTCACAACAGAAAGAGAGAAAGAGAAGGAGAAAGAGAGAGAGAGAGAGAGAGAGAGAGAGAGAGAGAGAGAGAGAGAGAGAGAGAGAGAGGGGGGGGGTGGGAGAAAAAGACTGAGCTACTAGATAAAGTATCTTCCTTTCGTGAGAGTCGAACTCCTGTCTTTTGCTTGCAAAGCGAAGATCCTCACCGCTACATCAGATCCAACAACGTTACACAATATTTTTCTCTGTTTTCCCCTCAGCATGCTCACCTTTCTTCACATCAAACGAGATTGACGCTTGCCGGGACAACCGCACAACGCCCACTGTAATCCCTGAGCCGGACAACGAAGGGGATGCCCGCACATACAGTTTCAAGTGAGTGCTGACCTCGTTTGGACAGGAGGGAAGGGAAAGCAATCACGCCGAGTCGAAGCAGTCAGCCTTCTAAATGGCCTAAATTGTGTTGATGAGGATGTACAAAAGTTACTATTTAAAAGAAAATAGAGTTACATATTTTTATACATCTTAACTTTATTGTTGCTTATTATTAGATTAATGTTACACATAATTGATATTGTTTGACACTATTCGCTACTCTAGAATTATAAAGTTCTATCTGCTCAGTACCCTGTTTTGAGAAATTTGACATTAAAAAATTCGAGTTTTACACTTCAAGCTTTTTCGAATGCAGTTCTTTGAACTTCTTGATAACGACTCCCAATATTCTTGCGATTTTGATAGATTAGACAGAGCATTTGGTCCCTGATCTCATGGTCTTAGTAACTCAAAATAGGCCGAAATGTCATGTAAAACGTTGTAATTTTTAGGTAGCAAATTCATAAGATCGCATATTATTAAAACTGAATGTTTGTGGGGGGTTTTTGGTTGCTTTTTTTTTTTTGGAAGCATGGAGCATCCCGTCTTCCTAAGACCCCAGTTCTAGATTCAAGTAATTCAAGTTTGTGCTTTTTTCTCTTTCCAAGGTTGAACATCTCTGACCCGGAAGCGGAACTTATCCTGAGGTCATCTTCCTGTGGCGGGAAGGAGCAGCTGAAGGTGTGGAGTGTCGGGAACCTGGTGCTGCTACAGAAGGGAGACGCCCCTCACCCCGCGGTCTTGACCGAGGTCTTTGTGGATGTGAGTGGATGCTTGTGTTTGTTTGTTTGTTTGTTTTGTTTTTGTTGCTTTTAATTTATTCAATTTTTATGCTCTCGTAGATAGATAAATATAAGGATAGATAGATACATCGATGGACGGATGAATGGATGGGTGGAGGGTGGAAAGATAGATAAATAGATATATAGATAGATAGAGAGACAGATAGATAGATAGATAGATAGATAGATAGATAGATAGATAGATAGATAGATAGATAGTTGGTGAAGGTTCTCGAAGAACTCCAGGGCAAAATACAGGGAATCCCCATTTGGGATTCGAAAAAGGGTCATCTGCTTTGTATTTGAGCCTGATACCAACCGAGTTAACAGCATTCGCGGGGTTTGTACTTGTAATAATAGGGTATTGAACACTTTATTGAAAAACCTGACAGACCAAGGCTGAAAAACGGAAGAGAACGCGTTGAAGTATTTTTTTTTTAAATAGCGGGTCGTAATTGTGAGATTGCAGGTTCGGGGGTTCGAGGGTCAGATTAGTTCGACCTTTTGTCAGAAGGAAAGCCACTTCCCGCGAATTTTCTCATTTGGCTCGGTTTTGTCGGAGATGGACGTTAAATCTGAAGGTCTCACTTCTTAAATGACCTAACAGTATTAATAGGGGCGTAAAACGCATACCATTTCAGAGATAGACGTTAAATCTGGAGGTCTAACTTCTCAAATAACCTAACGGTGTCGTTGGGGGCGTTAAACGTATACCATTTCACTATTTCAGAGATGGATGTTAAATCTGGAGGTCTCACTTCTTAAATAACCTGACAGTGTTGCAATAGGCTTTAACCCTCCATACAATTAAATTCGCAGCTTTTTTTTGTTGTGAACTGTTCATGCAGCTCGGGCTCATTTGACTCATTTATTCTGTTCTCACCAACTGACCCTGTGTGTCCGCAGGCCGACTCAGACCAGAAAGTGGTGGACGTGACTGTCCAACACAAGGGTCATCTGCTGACCCTCAGCGTCAATCAGGGAGGGCTCCAGCACGTGAGCTCTGTGCTCACTAAGGACACACCTTGTCTCACGTGCAGTGTCAAGGTCAGAGCGGGAGCTTCGGTCGGTGGAGACTGCTCGCCTGTCACGGAGGTGAGTGCCACGGGGCTCTTTGTGTGGGGGAACACTGTTTGTGTTTGGGGGAGAGGGGGGCGGTTGTATGTGTTAGTGTGTATATGTGCGTATGTGATAGGAGAAGTATGTGGTGTATGTGTGTGTGTGTGAGTGTGTGTGTGAGTGTGTGTGTTTGTGCGTGTGTGTGTGTGTGTGTGTGTGT